GACGTGAATTTACATATCCTAACACATAATATTAGCCTAAATGCCTCGTTACTTACATGCTTGAATTAGACCAGACCGAATTGAAGGAGTGGGATAGCCACTAGTACTAGTGGTAATTTAATTGACCACTTCCTGAAGTGCAGCTATATACTCACGGAAATAACTGTTGCGTGTGCAGAAGAAACTTATTTTGCTACACAATGGTACCGTTTAAAAACAAGTACTCTGGGTGTGGTTTATTATTCGAGAGTAAAATACTGTCATGCCTATTAAAAACTCTTCTTTCCTCTGCTTATAGCAGTTTCATGCCTTTGAACTTTATATTTTCACCATTATTTACTAGCATAGTTGTTGGATGGATCCACTATTACACAATAGCGAGAGCCAGGGCATGTGGAAGTCAGCTCTTTTGTTACAATTCCCTCCGCTGGGGGAGCACCACGACCTTTTTCTCTCTCAGTCAGTACCGAAGATGATACTGCAGGTATAAATTTTATATTTTCCCACCCATGAACCACACCTAACCACAAGCTTGTAATAACAGGATCTCCAGCTGACTTTGAAGCTTTGAGAAGTCAGATTATTCAATTTAATACTGGAGATACTGTTCACAACTTCACCCTCACTATTGCAAATGATGGGATATGTGAGGTTCCAAATGAGAACTTCATTGTAAAAATTACTGTGGTTATTGGCATCCAACCTATCTTCATTACTACGCATCGAGCACATGTGATAATCAATGATATGAATGAACCAGAGTGTGGTGAGTGCATTTGTATTAGCTAATGCCACAGCAAGGATTTGTTTGCCAATTCCAACAGTTCCAACCGTATCTTTTTCTTCGGAGACATATGTCGCAGCCGAGAGTGCAGGATCTGTTGAAGTGTGTGTAATTCTAAACATTCCTTACAGTTTTGTTCTGGAGTTCACAGTTAATGCTAGAGATATTGGAAGTGCGACAGCTGGTATGTTTAGACATCATGTTACTTACAATATTACAAGCATAATTATACATACTTCATAATTGTTAGGTGTGGATTTTGTTGGTGGGAAATGGAAAACCAACATACTCCCTGGATCTACAGACCGCTGCATTAACATCACCATTTTGAATGATAACATTGCGTTGGAAGAAAATGAAAATTTTGCAGTGGAAATAGCGATGGCTTCTGTGCCAAGCATAACATCAACTGCTGAGATTATCATTACTGATAGTAACGGTGGGTCTCTTAACACAATTAACCAAACATTGGTGCTCTAATACTATATTTGTCTCTTAGTTGCTATTGTCGAACTTGAAGAGACACTGTACCGAGTGACTGAAGCAGGAGGAAGTGTCCAAGTGTGTGTTAGAGTTGGAAGTCCCTGCAGCTGTGGATGTCCTATTGCTTCCGCCTTTGTTGTCAGTCTCTATACTAATGACGATGATGCAGGTAAGTTTTATCGTTATTCAGAGTGACATTCACTACTTTTCAGTTTGAAAATTGTGATATATTTTATAATAACCAACCAAAAATCTGCAGGAAACAGTCACATATCGCTTTTGCTTGTAAAACAAATGTCCCTGCACACAAAAACAATTTCAAGTGGCAGCTAGACTAAAGTTTATTACTGTATAGCTACAGACAGTGTATCTACTCTATACATGTTTCTTCCCCATCTTTAGATTCTGTAACTGATTACTCTGCTGTCACGGCCACTTTAAGTTTTCCACCTTGTTCTACATTGCAATGTGTCACCATTGCTATCACTGATGACTCCAATACTGAACCTGATGAGTCCTTCTCACTCATCTGGAGAGATCACCTGGTCTTGACAGCAGGATCACGCTAGCTTCCTCCGCTGGCAGTGTTCTAATACTCAATGATGATGGTATTGTTGTAGTATACCACATTGTTACTTCAAACAGCTAATATTATTGTGCTCTTTTGCTCCAGATTTCTTGTGTACTGCTAGAGGTTTTCCTGAAGTTACGGTGATTGACTGCACTGGTATCACCTGGGTCTTCTTTGCAGTGTTCTTTAATGGAGGACAGTCTCACTCGTGTAGTTATAATAGCGAGTGCGTTGTTCAGATAAGTGTGTTAATTGTGTAATACAGGCAATGCGCCATGGTACTGACTAGGATAGTCAGTCCTCTGGTATCAATCTGTGAGGATTGTAAGCAGCGCTGGAGAAGAAAGTACTGTATCATATGCATTCGCTACTGCTGATCAGTTACTGGTAGGATAACTTGTATTATACTCAATGGATGGTCAACGAAACTCAGTGGTTCTAATAACTATCAGCATTCTTACCACCCTTGGAGGTCATTCTAAACGGTGGTTCCCCTCTTGTGACTGAGAGCTTGTGGAGGCAGTGTTTGTAACCACCAGACCAGTGATGGAGGAGGTGCTTCCTCAGATATGACAACAAAAATGACTACAAAGACTGTAAGATAGGTTGTTCATAACACGTACTTCCATTTTTATGCATGTCCTTAGGTTCTTCTGGCAGAGTGTTCCTTTACTGACTGAGCCCTGGAGAGTATGTTCTGAGATCTATGCTATAATCAACAAAGTGACAGTGCACTGCGAGATAGTGGTCACAATCTAACAGGAGTGTAGTGAACCTAAACTATAGTGGAAACTGTAGGCTTGTGGCTATAACTCTTTCTAACGTAAATGTGTGTTTATAACTGCCGGCTGAAGTGGCAGGGGCGTTGGTGTGCATGGGGAGTACTGGGCAGTTAGCAGGGTTTTTTTAGGTTCAATATTGCTTCTCCATGTTACCAGACCTTAGTATCAAATAGAGAAAATAACATCGACAAGCTAATATAAAAGTTTCAGCATACAAGAGTTTAAAAGTGACAAAACACTCTCTTGCACACACCCTCCTCGAAACACTTCTGCAGAGCGACTCCAATCTCAGCCTCATTCTGGTAAGCTTGGGCAGTGTCGATGTGCCTGTAGCCTGCCTGGAGAGCTACTTCCACAGCAGCTTCTACTTCTCCTGGCTTTGACTGCCATGTTCTTGGACGTACGAAAATATTGTTTATAATGTACACTGAGTAGTATAACTAACTAAATTCTATAGCACAAGACCATTGGCTTACTCAATTCCAAAGGCAGGAATGTATGTTCCACTCAACATCTTTATTGTAGCTACTTTCAACCTTTTGCAATATTATACACAATGAAAATAGCTACTTTTCTCCATTTCTGCCATGGCTGGCGAACTATAGAGATTGTCCGTGTGCGTAGTACTTTTGAACTAAGCACGTCGGTCCAGAAGTTTTATACAGAAAGCTTCATGCGCGAACTCCTGACTGCAAAAATGAAAAGCACTGAAGTGCAAACCCTCGGCGCACTGTGACGCGCACGCGTAAGTAAACGCATGCGCCGTACCACTAATTGATGGGCTAGGTTTAATTTTAGCTGTTACTCGTGGTCTCTTGCGCGCACAGTCTGACGCGGACTAACTACACTACTAGATAGCATGCGAGAGGCATTACACGCCCTGCGTTGCATCTTCTGGTGCCTCCGAAGTACGCAGAGCACGCGGATTGATTCGACTGTGGTAAGTCGTCCCGTCCGTTGTGTATTTGCATATTGGCTTTTTCGCGCTGTAGCTCTGCAACGGAGCATTTTCATAGAAAACCCCAAATAATTTCTGATCTTCGTTGCCCGTTAAGCAGGTTGTATCCTTTGTGAGACGAACAGACACTCGAGAAAGTGAGATTGAGAGTAACAGACAGACAGACAAACCCAACTACAGTAACCCTCGCTGCGCATGCGCGCCGAGGGTTAATAATAGTCAGGCTTGCACTAGGTCATGCCTCGAGGCGTGACTAGACAGTACGCGCGTATAGATGCGCGCTTGCTCGCGATCAGCGTGGGCGCGGAAATTTCAGCCTCCTGTGCTCCTCTCTAGGCTCCAAAACCCCTACTGCCAACTAACACTCGTAAATGTTTGAACCATAGCTGCCACACGAAATGTTGTAAGCCCACCCCCCTCCCTGTGCTAGCTTTGAAAGAGAGTTTCTTCCTTTATGGTGCTTCAAGCCATCCCTATATCCCCCTTTCATTTTGAAGAAATGATTTTTCCACTTGTTATAGATAGCTACTCTAAGTTTTCCTTATTTTTGACCGATGTGTATGCGATTTCCACCCCTAACTCGTGCTCGGCGGCGGCGCAGTACCATGAGCGCTTGTTGTTTAGCAATACTGGGGTAGCTAACGGTGACATGCCATATGAGACCGATCTTCGAGTTCCCTCGCTCTACTTCTCAGTCTATTGCACGGCTAATCGTCTACTTTTAGCAGATTTCTTCTTTCAAGCTTGGTGATCTTTCACGAACAGGGTAAATTAGCTCCGCAAGACTCGCTTCGCTAAAGGCTCTCTTTGCTTCTGGTCTTGCTATCGCGGGGCGGCACTTTTCATCTAATTGAGTACAGGCCCTTCAATAAAATCCCCTTATATACAAGGATAACATATAAAATCTGGGTAAAGCAATGATGATAGCTAATAGTTACAGGCAATGCCCCAAACTCGAACACATTCAACAACCACCTATGTAGCTACTCGGCTATGTAACCCCACTAGCTAGAAAGCGAAAATGGGCGCGGCCAGCGGTGCATAGATAAGTATACCTCAAATCACACCTCGGTCAAACGACTATAGGTAGGCCCCCTTTCTAGGCTACGTTTATTTGGTTCGTGCTATGCATGCTACCTCTCTAGGTTCCACAATACTCATGGCAGTGCTTGGCTAAGGATCATAAAAGGAGTGTGGTTTCCTACAAACCGTACACATGCTGCGTAGGCTTGCTTTGAAGGCGGGTTGTAGCTACTTACATACAAGGCATTGAACAGAGTAACGTTGTCTCAGTCCAGCTGGCTCCATTGCACAGGCTGCAGTTTTATCTGTTAGCTAAAGCTGCAGGGAGAGCTCTACGTAGCTAGCTATGTTTTCAGCAGTGTTCATTGTTTTTCTGCTGATAGGACGAGGTTCTTCTCAATGTTTTACAAATTCTGATTGTACAGGGACTGCTATTGCTGCAACAGATCAACAAGCCTGCTGTGTGGGAACTGACAATGGTCTTTCTTTCAATGATGGGACCACCTGCAATCTGTGCATATAGTTATTGGAGGAGATATTGAAGATGTTACATTATATCCCGCAGTACATGGTTTTCTTCGGGTTGCATATAGTGTTTCAGAGGGTGACCGACTGGATGCTAGTTTTCAACTCAATGTGAAGGGAACAACACAGTTTGGTGATGCTCTTGTTCTCACTGGTCTCATTAAAGGGGATTCAGGGAGATTCAAGTCATAAAATGAGAAGATGCCTACACCAAAACAATATGGCATTAATTTCGTATGTACAAAGCCGCATATGCACACTTACACTACGTACGAACGGACAAAAAATCTGCTCGATCGAACGACTAGGTTGGCTCGCTCCCGCTCGCCAATTACAAAAAATGTACTTGTAACTAAACAACAACACATTCTTCAACACTGTCCATTGCTCTAGCTCCACCCACTATGATGATCTTATCAGGTGACGGACTGGCTACTAAACACCAGCTCCTACCACTAGTCATAGAGCCAATCTCCACCCATTGTCCGTCCACTAGCTGGTGAATGGAGTTGACTAGTGACCAAACTGGCCCGGCACCAATGAGTACTAGCTGTCCACAGAGAGTGGCAGCTGTTGAGCTTGCCACTGGTAGAGGAGGGAGAGATGTCCACGATATGAGGTGTGGTATTGACTGTGGTGGGATTGGTTTGTCACTGGATGGTATAGCTGCAAGAGAACACGAGTAGCCTTCATCACCATATCCTATCACATGTACCAGATCACCACATATTGTGGCAGAAGGGAAGGGGAGATGTTGTGGTAAGTCTGTTAGTTGGTACCATCTTCTCTTCTTCACTTGAAATAGTTCAACTGTACCAGTCCAATAACAACCAAGCCCCCCAATCACAATGAGGTATTCACCATCAGATGTACTAACTACAGCAGTCATTGAACGTGCAGTGTTCATTGGAGGGTTTTTCTCAACCCATTTCCTCTGTCGTAGTGTATATAGTTTGTTAGTATCATGAGATCCATCGTCAAATCCCCCCACAGCAGTTAGTTCCCTGTCAATAGTGACTAGTCCAGAGTCCTGATATGGACATGAAGGAAGTTCCTCCCATTTCTCTGTACTACATTCATATTGGTAGACTGAGGTGGAGTGCTCTGGGGTGAAGTATGCAAATCGACCATCAGTTGTTGCAGATCCTCTCATCATTCCACGTGGTGCTGTCTTCTTACGATGACACTGCACAGTGAGCTGAGGGGAGATCACATCACATAATGACATCATAATCATGAACGATATCCGTCACATGACTCACATCATTGTTTTTAAAAATCAAATTCACAAAATGGGCAACATTAATTAATAGGCATGGCTTCAATTTCGATCATTCACTATTCACCATATTATCCCAAAATTATTTTTTTCGCTTTTGCATTAATGTAACACATTAGAAGGCATCACTAGTTCTTGTCCTGATAATAAAAGTGTGAACAAAATAATATTTTACGTGTAGACCTTTCTTGGTTTAATATTGACTGGTGGAGTAACAAATAGCATGTATTCACAGGCCGTGCATAAAGAGTTAATATAGCTAGTAAGACTGACCTTTGTCCTCTGAGTCGGCTCTGAGTCTCTCTGCTGGAGGGCCTTCTGTAAGTCAGCCACTAGAGCCTCACTTGATCGCAGCTGTTCTTCCTGCAGTCAGGAGGACCTCTAGTCACAGACACATCCTGAGGTTATCACTATTCACCTTCTGTCTCAGAGTCACAGCTAACTCTCTCTCCTTCCTTGTTAGCTCATCTCTCACTGTCTGCTTCTCTCTTAGCTCCCTGTCCTTGCACTGTATTAACTCAGTTTCCTGCAGTCAGGAGGACCTCTTTACACTGCATTAGTTCCACAGACTAGACTAACTCGTCTCTGTGAGCTGATGAGCTGTTGTCTGACTGTCTGTTTCTCTCTCTCACTGGATTGGAGCTCTTCTTCCTGAAGTTGCACGTTCACATTAGCAGGGACGCTATATACAATAGTTTTACCTTTTGTCTCAGTTGCTGCTGAGCCTCAGCTAACTCCCTGTCCTTGGCCTATGAGAGGGAGGATTTGTGCCAGTATTCATTATGTTTCTACCAAGGCAAACTGATTTGCCACGGCAATGCCGTAATGTAATTCTGGGGGAGTATTGCTACAGCAATGAAAGGCACTGAAGTGCTAACCCTCGGCGCAGTGGGTGTTATTAATTTGTATACACATGCTAAAGTACGTGTACATACTATAATTATACTAAGCTGCTACATGTCATCATGGGCTGGCTACATCAGTAGGTTAGCAATGGCAGATCCTT